CCAACGCTCTACCACTGAGCTATAAAGGCATGGCTAAAAAAGACGATCATCATTTAGTTTTCTCTGCTTTTGAAAAGACACAAATGACAAAATCCGAAACTGTACGATCTCAGAACATTCGCCTGCAGGCAGGATCTCACAAACGAACCTCTGGTTCACAAGACCAACGCTCTACCACTGAGCTATAAAGGCATGGCAGAAAAAAACAAGCAACACTTCATGTTTCCGAGTTCATAAACAGTTTGATAACCAAATCCAGATTGGTACAATGTGGGAACATACGCCTCCAGGCAGGATATCACAAACGAACCTCTGGTTCACAAGACCAACGCTCTACCACTCAGCTATAAAGTCATGGCAAACCAACATGATCATCATTCAGTATTCTCTGATTTTGTAAACTGTCTCATCACAAAATTACGATCTAAAGAATGTGAAAACATTTGCCTTCAGGCAGGATTGAACTACCGACCTTTGGTTCACAAGACCAACGCTCTACCTCGTGAGCTATAAGGGCAGGCCAGAGGAACATGATCATCATTTAGTGTTCTCTGCTTTTGAAAAGACACAAATGACAAAATCCGAAACTGTTCGATGTGAAAACATTTGCTTCCAGGCAAGATATAACAAACGAAACTCTGGTTCACAAGACTAATGCTCTATCACTGAGCTTTGAAGGCATGGCAGAGGAAGATGGTCATCAATTCGTGTTCTCTGATTTTGTAAACTGTCTCATCACAAAATTACGATCTATAGAATGTGAAAACATTTGCTTCCAGGCAAGATATAACAAACGAAACTCTGGTTCACAAGACTAATGCTCTATCACTGAGCTTTGAAGGCATGGCAGAGGAAGATGGTCATCAATTCGTGTTCTCTGATTTTGTAAACTGTCTCATCACAAAATTACGATCTATAGAATGTGAAAACATTTGCTTCCAGGCAAGATATAACAAACGAAACTCTGGTTCACAAGACTAATGCTCTATCACTGAGCTTTGAAGGCATGGCAGAGGAAGATGGTCATCAATTCGTGTTCTCTGATTTTGTAAACTGTCTCATCACAAAATTACGATCTATAGAATGTGAAAACATTTGCTTCCAGGCAAGATATAACAAACGAAACTCTGGTTCACAAGACTAATGCTCTATCACTGAGCTTTGAAGGCATGGCAGAGGAAGATGGTCATCAATTCGTGTTCTCTGATTTTGTAAACTGTCTCATCACAAAATTACGATCTATAGAATGTGAAAACATTTGCTTCCAGGCAAGATATAACAAACGAAACTCTGGTTCACAAGACTAATGCTCTATCACTGAGCTTTGAAGGCATGGCAGAGGAAGATGGTCATCAATTCGTGTTCTCTGATTTTGTAAACTGTCTCATCACAAAATTACGATCTATAGAATGTGAAAACATTTGCTTCCAGGCAAGATATAACAAACGAAACTCTGGTTCACAAGACTAATGCTCTATCACTGAGCTTTGAAGGCATGGCAGAGGAAGATGGTCATCAATTCGTGTTCTCTGATTTTGTAAACTGTCTCATCACAAAATTACGATCTATAGAATGTGAAAACATTTGCTTCCAGGCAAGATATAACAAACGAAACTCTGGTTCACAAGACTAATGCTCTATCACTGAGCTTTGAAGGCATGGCAGAGGAAGATGGTCATCAATTCGTGTTCTCTGATTTTGTAAACTGTCTCATCACAAAATTACGATCTATAGAATGTGAAAACATTTGCTTCCAGGCAAGATATAACAAACGAAACTCTGGTTCACAAGACTAATGCTCTATCACTGAGCTTTGAAGGCATGGCAGAGGAAGATGGTCATCAATTCGTGTTCTCTGATTTTGTAAACTGTCTCATCACAAAATTACGATCTATAGAATGTGAAAACATTTGCTTCCAGGCAAGATATAACAAACGAAACTCTGGTTCACAAGACTAATGCTCTATCACTGAGCTTTGAAGGCATGGCAGAGGAAGATGGTCATCAATTCGTGTTCTCTGATTTTGTAAACTGTCTCATCACAAAATTACGATCTATAGAATGTGAAAACATTTGCTTCCAGGCAAGATATAACAAACGAAACTCTGGTTCACAAGACTAATGCTCTATCACTGAGCTTTGAAGGCATGGCAGAGGAAGATGGTCATCAATTCGTGTTCTCTGATTTTGTAAACTGTCTCATCACAAAATTACGATCTATAGAATGTGAAAACATTTGCTTCCAGGCAAGATATAACAAACGAAACTCTGGTTCACAAGACTAATGCTCTATCACTGAGCTTTGAAGGCATGGCAGAGGAAGATGGTCATCAATTCGTGTTCTCTGATTTTGTAAACTGTCTCATCACAAAATTACGATCTATAGAATGTGAAAACATTTGCTTCCAGGCAAGATATAACAAACGAAACTCTGGTTCACAAGACTAATGCTCTATCACTGAGCTTTGAAGGCATGGCAGAGGAAGATGGTCATCAATTCGTGTTCTCTGATTTTGTAAACTGTCTCATCACAAAATTACGATCTATAGAATGTGAAAACATTTGCTTCCAGGCAAGATATAACAAACGAAACTCTGGTTCACAAGACTAATGCTCTATCACTGAGCTTTGAAGGCATGGCAGAGGAAGATGGTCATCAATTCGTGTTCTCTGATTTTGTAAACTGTCTCATCACAAAATTACGATCTATAGAATGTGAAAACATTTGCTTCCAGGCAAGATATAACAAACGAAACTCTGGTTCACAAGACTAATGCTCTATCACTGAGCTTTGAAGGCATGGCAGAGGAAGATGGTCATCAATTCGTGTTCTCTGATTTTGTAAACTGTCTCATCACAAAATTACGATCTATAGAATGTGAAAACATTTGCTTCCAGGCAAGATATAACAAACGAAACTCTGGTTCACAAGACTAATGCTCTATCACTGAGCTTTGAAGGCATGGCAGAGGAAGATGGTCATCAATTCGTGTTCTCTGATTTTGTAAACTGTCTCATCACAAAATTACGATCTATAGAATGTGAAAACATTTGCTTCCAGGCAAGATATAACAAACGAAACTCTGGTTCACAAGACTAATGCTCTATCACTGAGCTTTGAAGGCATGGCAGAGGAAGATGGTCATCAATTCGTGTTCTCTGATTTTGTAAACTGTCTCATCACAAAATTACGATCTATAGAATGTGAAAACATTTGCTTCCAGGCAAGATATAACAAACGAAACTCTGGTTCACAAGACTAATGCTCTATCACTGAGCTTTGAAGGCATGGCAGAGGAAGATGGTCATCAATTCGTGTTCTCTGATTTTGTAAACTGTCTCATCACAAAATTACGATCTATAGAATGTGAAAACATTTGCTTCCAGGCAAGATATAACAAACGAAACTCTGGTTCACAAGACTAATGCTCTATCACTGAGCTTTGAAGGCATGGCAGAGGAAGATGGTCATCAATTCGTGTTCTCTGATTTTGTAAACTGTCTCATCACAAAATTACGATCTATAGAATGTGAAAACATTTGCTTCCAGGCAAGATATAACAAACGAAACTCTGGTTCACAAGACTAATGCTCTATCACTGAGCTTTGAAGGCATGGCAGAGGAAGATGGTCATCAATTCGTGTTCTCTGATTTTGTAAACTGTCTCATCACAAAATTACGATCTATAGAATGTGAAAACATTTGCTTCCAGGCAAGATATAACAAACGAAACTCTGGTTCACAAGACCAACGCTCTACCTATACACATCTCTCTACCACTGAGCTATAAAGGCATGGCAGTAAAAAACAAGCAACGCGTCATGTTTCTGAGTTCATAAACAGAATGACAACCAAATCTAGCTCCGTACGATGTAAAAATATTCGCCTCCAGGCAGGATTTCACAAACGAATCTCTGGTTCACAAGACCAACGCTCTACCTCTTGAGCTATAAGGGCATGCCAGAGGAACATGATCATCATTTAGTGTTCTCTGCTTTTGAAAACACACAAATGACAAAATCCGAAATTGTACGATGTGAAAACATTTGCCTCCAGGCAGGATTAAACTACCGACCTTTGGTTTACAAGACCAACGCTCTACCACTGAGCTATAAAGGCATGGCAGTAATAAACAAGCAACACTTCATGTTTCTGAGTTCATAAACAGAATGACAACCAAATCTAGATTCGTACGATGTAAAAACATTCGCCTCCAGGCAGGATTTTACAAACGAATCTCTGGTTCACAAGACCAACGCTCTACCTCGTGAGCTATAAGGGCATGCCAGAGGAACATGATCATCATTTAGTGTTCTCTGATTTTGTAAACAGTCTCATCACAAAAATACGATCTATAGAATGTGAAAACATTTGCCTCCAGGCAGGATTGAACTACCGACCTTTGGTTTACAAGACCAACGCTCTACCACTGAGCTATAAAGGCAGGCCAGAGGAACATGATCATCATTTAGTGTTCTCTGCTTTTGAAAAGACACAAATGACAAAATCCGAAACTGTACGATCTCAGAACATTCGCCTGCAGGCAGGATCTCACAAACGAACCTCTGGTTCACAAGACCAACGCTCTACCTCGTGAGCTATAAGGGCAGGCCAGAGGAACATGATCATCATTTAGTGTTCTCTGCTTTTGAAAAGACACAAATGACAAAATCCGAAACTGTACGATCTCAGAACATTCGCCTGCAGGCAGGATCTCACAAACGAACCTCTGGTTCACAAGACCAACGCTCTACCTCGTGAGCTATAAGGGCAGGCCAGAGGAACATGATCATCATTTAGTGTTCTCTGCTTTTGAAAAGACACAAATGACAAAATCCGAAACTGTACGATCTCAGAACATTCGCCTGCAGGCAGGATCTCACAAACGAACCTCTGGTTCACAAGACCAACGCTCTACCTCGTGAGCTATAAGGGCAGGCCAGAGGAACATGATCATCATTTAGTGTTCTCTGCTTTTGAAAAGACACAAATGACAAAATCCGAAACTGTACGATCTCAGAACATTCGCCTGCAGGCAGGATCTCACAAACGAACCTCTGGTTCACAAGACCAACGCTCTACCTCGTGAGCTATAAGGGCAGGCCAGAGGAACATGATCATCATTTAGTGTTCTCTGCTTTTGAAAAGACACAAATGACAAAATCCGAAACTGTACGATCTCAGAACATTCGCCTGCAGGCAGGATCTCACAAACGAACCTCTGGTTCACAAGACCAACGCTCTACCTCGTGAGCTATAAGGGCAGGCCAGAGGAACATGATCATCATTTAGTGTTCTCTGCTTTTGAAAAGACACAAATGACAAAATCCGAAACTGTACGATCTCAGAACATTCGCCTGCAGGCAGGATCTCACAAACGAACCTCTGGTTCACAAGACCAACGCTCTACCTCGTGAGCTATAAGGGCAGGCCAGAGGAACATGATCATCATTTAGTGTTCTCTGCTTTTGAAAAGACACAAATGACAAAATCCGAAACTGTACGATCTCAGAACATTCGCCTGCAGGCAGGATCTCACAAACGAACCTCTGGTTCACAAGACCAACGCTCTACCTCGTGAGCTATAAGGGCAGGCCAGAGGAACATGATCATCATTTAGTGTTCTCTGCTTTTGAAAAGACACAAATGACAAAATCCGAAACTGTACGATCTCAGAACATTCGCCTGCAGGCAGGATCTCACAAACGAACCTCTGGTTCACAAGACCAACGCTCTACCTCGTGAGCTATAAGGGCAGGCCAGAGGAACATGATCATCATTTAGTGTTCTCTGCTTTTGAAAAGACACAAATGACAAAATCCGAAACTGTACGATCTCAGAACATTCGCCTGCAGGCAGGATCTCACAAACGAACCTCTGGTTCACAAGACCAACGCTCTACCTCGTGAGCTATAAGGGCAGGCCAGAGGAACATGATCATCATTTAGTGTTCTCTGCTTTTGAAAAGACACAAATGACAAAATCCGAAACTGTACGATCTCAGAACATTCGCCTGCAGGCAGGATCTCACAAACGAACCTCTGGTTCACAAGACCAACGCTCTACCTCGTGAGCTATAAGGGCAGGCCAGAGGAACATGATCATCATTTAGTGTTCTCTGCTTTTGAAAAGACACAAATGACAAAATCCGAAACTGTACGATCTCAGAACATTCGCCTGCAGGCAGGATCTCACAAACGAACCTCTGGTTCACAAGACCAACGCTCTACCTCGTGAGCTATAAGGGCAGGCCAGAGGAACATGATCATCATTTAGTGTTCTCTGCTTTTGAAAAGACACAAATGACAAAATCCGAAACTGTACGATCTCAGAACATTCGCCTGCAGGCAGGATCTCACAAACGAACCTCTGGTTCACAAGACCAACGCTCTACCTCGTGAGCTATAAGGGCAGGCCAGAGGAACATGATCATCATTTAGTGTTCTCTGCTTTTGAAAAGACACAAATGACAAAATCCGAAACTGTACGATCTCAGAACATTCGCCTGCAGGCAGGATCTCACAAACGAACCTCTGGTTCACAAGACCAACGCTCTACCTCGTGAGCTATAAGGGCAGGCCAGAGGAACATGATCATCATTTAGTGTTCTCTGCTTTTGAAAAGACACAAATGACAAAATCCGAAACTGTACGATCTCAGAACATTCGCCTGCAGGCAGGATCTCACAAACGAACCTCTGGTTCACAAGACCAACGCTCTACCTCGTGAGCTATAAGGGCAGGCCAGAGGAACATGATCATCATTTAGTGTTCTCTGCTTTTGAAAAGACACAAATGACAAAATCCGAAACTGTACGATCTCAGAACATTCGCCTGCAGGCAGGATCTCACAAACGAACCTCTGGTTCACAAGACCAACGCTCTACCTCGTGAGCTATAAGGGCAGGCCAGAGGAACATGATCATCATTTAGTGTTCTCTGCTTTTGAAAAGACACAAATGACAAAATCCGAAACTGTACGATCTCAGAACATTCGCCTGCAGGCAGGATCTCACAAACGAACCTCTGGTTCACAAGACCAACGCTCTACCTCGTGAGCTATAAGGGCAGGCCAGAGGAACATGATCATCATTTAGTGTTCTCTGCTTTTGAAAAGACACAAATGACAAAATCCGAAACTGTACGATCTCAGAACATTCGCCTGCAGGCAGGATCTCACAAACGAACCTCTGGTTCACAAGACCAACGCTCTACCTCGTGAGCTATAAGGGCAGGCCAGAGGAACATGATCATCATTTAGTGTTCTCTGCTTTTGAAAAGACACAAATGACAAAATCCGAAACTGTACGATCTCAGAACATTCGCCTGCAGGCAGGATCTCACAAACGAACCTCTGGTTCACAAGACCAACGCTCTACCTCGTGAGCTATAAGGGCAGGCCAGAGGAACATGATCATCATTTAGTGTTCTCTGCTTTTGAAAAGACACAAATGACAAAATCCGAAACTGTACGATCTCAGAACATTCGCCTGCAGGCAGGATCTCACAAACGAACCTCTGGTTCACAAGACCAACGCTCTACCTCGTGAGCTATAAGGGCAGGCCAGAGGAACATGATCATCATTTAGTGTTCTCTGCTTTTGAAAAGACACAAATGACAAAATCCGAAACTGTACGATCTCAGAACATTCGCCTGCAGGCAGGATCTCACAAACGAACCTCTGGTTCACAAGACCAACGCTCTACCTCGTGAGCTATAAGGGCAGGCCAGAGGAACATGATCATCATTTAGTGTTCTCTGCTTTTGAAAAGACACAAATGACAAAATCCGAAACTGTACGATCTCAGAACATTCGCCTGCAGGCAGGATCTCACAAACGAACCTCTGGTTCACAAGACCAACGCTCTACCTCGTGAGCTATAAGGGCAGGCCAGAGGAACATGATCATCATTTAGTGTTCTCTGCTTTTGAAAAGACACAAATGACAAAATCCGAAACTGTACGATCTCAGAACATTCGCCTGCAGGCAGGATCTCACAAACGAACCTCTGGTTCACAAGACCAACGCTCTACCTCGTGAGCTATAAGGGCAGGCCAGAGGAACATGATCATCATTTAGTGTTCTCTGCTTTTGAAAAGACACAAATGACAAAATCCGAAACTGTACGATCTCAGAACATTCGCCTGCAGGCAGGATCTCACAAACGAACCTCTGGTTCACAAGACCAACGCTCTACCTCGTGAGCTATAAGGGCAGGCCAGAGGAACATGATCATCATTTAGTGTTCTCTGCTTTTGAAAAGACACAAATGACAAAATCCGAAACTGTACGATCTCAGAACATTCGCCTGCAGGCAGGATCTCACAAACGAACCTCTGGTTCACAAGACCAACGCTCTACCTCGTGAGCTATAAGGGCAGGCCAGAGGAACATGATCATCATTTAGTGTTCTCTGCTTTTGAAAAGACACAAATGACAAAATCCGAAACTGTACGATCTCAGAACATTCGCCTGCAGGCAGGATCTCACAAACGAACCTCTGGTTCACAAGACCAACGCTCTACCTCGTGAGCTATAAGGGCAGGCCAGAGGAACATGATCATCATTTAGTGTTCTCTGCTTTTGAAAAGACACAAATGACAAAATCCGAAACTGTACGATCTCAGAACATTCGCCTGCAGGCAGGATCTCACAAACGAACCTCTGGTTCACAAGACCAACGCTCTACCTCGTGAGCTATAAGGGCAGGCCAGAGGAACATGATCATCATTTAGTGTTCTCTGCTTTTGAAAAGACACAAATGACAAAATCCGAAACTGTACGATCTCAGAACATTCGCCTGCAGGCAGGATCTCACAAACGAACCTCTGGTTCACAAGACCAACGCTCTACCTCGTGAGCTATAAGGGCAGGCCAGAGGAACATGATCATCATTTAGTGTTCTCTGCTTTTGAAAAGACACAAATGACAAAATCCGAAACTGTACGATCTCAGAACATTCGCCTGCAGGCAGGATCTCACAAACGAACCTCTGGTTCACAAGACCAACGCTCTACCACTGAGCTATAAAGGCATGGCAGTGAAAAACAAGCAACAGTTCATGTTTCTGAGTTCATAAACAGAATGACAACCACATCTAGACTCGTACGATGTAAAAACATTCGCCTCCAGGCAGGATTTTACAAACGAACCTCTGGTTCACAAGACCAACGCTCTACCTCGAGCTATAAGGGCATGCCAGAGGAACATGATCATCATTTAGTGTTCTCTGATTTTGTAAACAGTCTCATCACAAACATACGATCTATAGAATGTGAAAACATTTGCCTCCAGGCAGGATTGAACTACCGACCTTTGGTTTACAAGACCAACGCTCTACCACTGAGCTATAAAGGCTGTCTCTTATATGATTGCACTACCGACCTTTGGTTTACAAGACCAACGCTCTACCACTGAGCTATAAAGGCTGTCTCTTATATGATTGCACTACCGACCTTTGGTTTACAAGACCAACGCTCTACCACTGAGCTATAAAGGCTGTCTCTTATATGATTGCACTACCGACCTTTGGTTTACAAGACCAACGCTCTACCACTGAGCTATAAAGGCTGTCTCTTATATGATTGCACTACCGA